CAAGTTTGTTAGGATTTTATTGAATGAATATTGAGTTGTTAGAAACTACATTCTCTAAGTATGACGTGACCTTCTAGAACATGTTGATGTGATATTATGACTTATCTTCAAGCTTAAATACATTATATTCTTCCATGTCTATGAAAGATTATGCTCTAAGGTTGTTCTCCTTAAAATGATTTCTTATATTTTTAGCCAGCTCATGAATAAAAGAGCTCGATTCAAACACCTGACTAATGATTTTCATCGTGATATAATATAGATGATCCGAATACCTGCCTTCATCAACCTCATGAGAATACCAAACTTCAACATACCTTTAGGTTTGAGTAATGCTTATTTAAAAATCATCCACCTGCTTCCAGTGCCTTTTGCTTTGGGAATCGTAACTATATATATATATATATATATACACCTAACGTACAGGTACCAAACTTATGGTGTCTTTATATATGGGTATGGCCATTTCTGTTATACATGTGGCTCATCAGATGGAGACAACAGGATCCTCCACTTATTTTATTTTATTTTATTCGATGAGTAAACTATAATAATATTTTATTACATTGTATATAAGTTATGCCGCGTCAAAAATAGATTTAACTCAATTATGTTTTATATATCGTAATTAATGGTAAAATAAGTTGTTAAATCTTTAATGGTGGTTTAGTGATTGAGTTTAGTCTTTGATAATTTAGAGATATCATGTTCAACACTTGTCATACTCTTTAAGGACCAACTATTTTTATTTTTCATGGACTTAAGAGACATGTTTTAAATCCGCTCACACTGCGATAGTCAATATTCGAGCTCAAAGAAACTACTTGTTGTTATCACTAATGCGGTAGATGAAAGATACTATTGTATCGACAATTAACATTTTGGTATCCCACTAAAAAAATTGCTACCCCAAAGACAAAGACGTGAAAATTACTAATGAATGAGATTAAAAAATTTGGAATCAATCTTAAAAAATGGAGAATTCTTTATTTTTTTTTTTCCTCATGAAAAAAAAGGTGAGGGTAAAGAAGAGCGCCCAGCGACCATTTCGATAGGCGCTCACCGATGGGATCATAAGATTTCTGATTGCGCCTAGAACACCTCTTGAAACTAAATTTAGTTTGACTAGCATAGCGGCTAACCACCAAATTCCAATGAAAATTTCAAGACTCGAACTCTCAAGTGAAGAGTACGGCCGATACTCCACTAGAATTTTTCATATTAATACAAAATCAAATTTATTAAATCAGACGTGGGACCATATCTGGTATGGTACATTAAATGTTGCTCCAAATTTACGGAACAGATAGGTGTTGGGTGCATCAATGAATTAAACATTACCTAGTAGATCAAATACTGGTCTAAAGAGGAATTATTGTTGTTAAAACGTCATTTTCAGAAAATCACCGAAAATACATTCATTACCTACGTTACGTAGCCTCCTGTCACGTGGTCTGACCTGACCGTTGCCGTTGCCGTTGCCTTTTCTTTCTTTCTTTCCTACTTTATTTTTCTCACCAGCTCCGTGGTTTCCAATGCCTTGCTACACAAAATTACCAAAATCTCCATTTTTTCCATCACTCAAATATCTACCTAAATTCTGACGTCCTAAATTTGTATTTTTGATAATTTTTTTGGAATTATTATTCCTCATGAATATTTTTGTCTCGGTGTAATGACTTTCTTTTGACTATATCGAGGAAGGAATTAAGCGATATGTGTGTAAGCTAATATAAATAACTCTGACCATCGAATTAAAAAAAAAGAAAAGAAAAAAGAGAAATGTCAATGTAACCCTCATACTTATGGCTTATTCCAATCAGTCTTATTCCCAATTTGGAAATGGTGATATTTCCGGAATCAAACTCAATAGTGCCCATCAATGCCATCTTCAATTGGTAACTTGAAGTGTATTCAGACCAAAGTAATAGAAGCGAACTGTCACACATGGCCTAGAGGGTCCGCCGGAGTGGCTAGCCCCTCCAGTTGTGTATCTTCAGGTGCGGTGGTCAAAATCTTCTCCCTTTTCTTGTATAGTTACGATTGAAAAAGAAAAAAAAAATAACTCACATAACTCTAATTGAATTTGGTTGAGAGCTTGATACAAATTATTAGATTACGGATATTACGTACTAATTCAAATATAGCACGACACAATTTAATTATCATGCAAGAAAAAGAGAGTAAGAAACTGACATCTTTGCCAACCTAATAGGAAAAGAAAGTTTCTTCAAACCCAACTTTTGAAGACAAAATTAATGCACTTTTTTCATATAAAATGACTATGAGTGGATGGTTTGGTAATTTAGGGGGTACCTGGGAAGGTCTGATTTGGAAGGTACCAAACATATCCAATAGATTAGACTTGGGTGTCTAAAGAGGAAAGGAGTGGGTAATCACTATGGGTGTCCATTTGTTGGAGTTGAGGGCCCTGGTTTATCAATTTCAGAGAATTACTTACTACTAATCTCTACCAAATTCCTCAATTTAAGTGTAATTATCTGAAATATTAATGCTACTGAGGGCCCTCACAATGCCATCTGTGTCCCATCAATGGAATAACTAGCCATACATTCCAACCAGTTGGAATACATTATCTAAAAGAATCTAATGAATATTAGTAATTGGAAGAATGGAAGAAAAATATCTTGACAAAATCCAAATCCATATCAAAGTAGAGTTTTTTTTTGGTGGGGAGGTTAAGTAGGCATGTGGGCTGGTGTGAATCTATGACAAGATGCGTTAATACGGTACAAAATTAGAAGATTTAAACTTTTCTTAAATCATCTGTTTAGTAAACGAGTGGACACAACGTAACACGATTAATAAACGAATTAGGCATAGGTGAAGTTAATCAGAAAAAATATACGATTCGACTCGTTTATATAGCAGTTATACACAGTTCATATATTATACGAATCCGATATGATATGATTCATTAAAAATGAATTAGATATCAATAAAATATTTTTTGATATGAACCTGTCTCACCTGACACGATTGAACGGAGTTAAGGAAATGTTGATGACCAAATGGAAAACAAATAGGTCATAAGGGCATTTTAGCCAATTCAAAATCTCTACTGTTACTCTGTTAACCTCAAATTAGACAAACCATACATATTAAAACATGAGGTTTTACCTAATATCTGATTAGTCTCTTTACTTAACCCAAAGAATCTTCTCCTTCAATTTTTTTATTGTTTTCCCTCACTTTTTCTAAGAGATTGTATAATAAAAACAAAATCACAATCAATAACGTACACACAGGCAGAGAGAAACAAAGTATACACACAGGGGGAGAGAGAGAGAGAGAGAGAGAGAGCGCCACCACTTGAGATCTACAGTGTAATATCCTCTCATCTCCTTCTTAAATTCTGTCACGAGTGCTCAATGTAAAACCTCTGAGAAAATAACTCAAATCTTTCAATGAATTTCACTCGCATTGATCACCCGTGTCAACTCAGTTTGAAGTTCAGTCTTTCTTGTTTCTTTCTCTCTGTTTGAGCCATCATAGGTTCAAACCCGAACTGGGTATTTCAATTTCTGAGAGCTTTGGTGATCCTCGACCTGAATGGAGGTTTTTCGGCTGTGTTCGCCGGAGCTCCGGTGAGTCACAAAGCTCCCCGGTTGAGCTCCGATAACCAAAGTACCATGTTGAATTGAAGCTGAGAAGCGAAAATGTTCAAGTCGGCGCGATGGAGGAGCGAGAAAAACAAGATCAAAGCTGTTTTCAAGTTACAGTTTCATGCAACTCAGGTTTCTTTCTGAATTCAAAGGATGTGTTCATATATGCATTTTGTGTGNAGCTTGATACAAATTATTAGATTACGGATATTACGTACTAATTCAAATATAGCACGACACAATTTAATTATCATGCAAGAAAAAGAGAGTAAGAAACTGACATCTTTGCCAACCTAATAGGAAAAGAAAGTTTCTTCAAACCCAACTTTTGAAGACAAAATTAATGCACTTTTTTCATATAAAATGACTATGAGTGGATGGTTTGGTAATTTAGGGGGTACCTGGGAAGGTCTGATTTGGAAGGTACCAAACATATCCAATAGATTAGACTTGGGTGTCTAAAGAGGAAAGGAGTGGGTAATCACTATGGGTGTCCATTTGTTGGAGTTGAGGGCCCTGGTTTATCAATTTCAGAGAATTACTTACTACTAATCTCTACCAAATTCCTCAATTTAAGTGTAATTATCTGAAATATTAATGCTACTGAGGGCCCTCACAATGCCATCTGTGTCCCATCAATGGAATAACTAGCCATACATTCCAACCAGTTGGAATACATTATCTAAAAGAATCTAATGAATATTAGTAATTGGAAGAATGGAAGAAAAATATCTTGACAAAATCCAAATCCATATCAAAGTAGAGTTTTTTTTTGGTGGGGAGGTTAAGTAGGCATGTGGGCTGGTGTGAATCTATGACAAGATGCGTTAATACGGTACAAAATTAGAAGATTTAAACTTTTCTTAAATCATCTGTTTAGTAAACGAGTGGACACAACGTAACACGATTAATAAACGAATTAGGCATAGGTGAAGTTAATCAGAAAAAATATACGATTCGACTCGTTTATATAGCAGTTATACACAGTTCATATATTATACGAATCCGATATGATATGATTCATTAAAAATGAATTAGATATCAATAAAATATTTTTTGATATGAACCTGTCTCACCTGACACGATTGAACGGAGTTAAGGAAATGTTGATGACCAAATGGAAAACAAATAGGTCATAAGGGCATTTTAGCCAATTCAAAATCTCTACTGTTACTCTGTTAACCTCAAATTAGACAAACCATACATATTAAAACATGAGATTTTACCTAATATCTGATTAGTCTCTTTACTTAACCCAAAGAATCTTCTCCTTCAATTTTTTTATTGTTTTCCCTCACTTTTTCTAAGAGATTGTATAATAAAAACAAAATCACAATCAATAACGTACACACAGGCAGAGAGAAACAAAGTATACACACAGGGGGAGAGAGAGAGAGAGAGAGAGAGAGCGCCACCACTTGAGATCTACAGTGTAATATCCTCTCATCTCCTTCTTAAATTCTGTCACGAGTGCTCAATGTAAAACCTCTGAGAAAATAACTCAAATCTTTCAATGAATTTCACTCGCATTGATCACCCGTGTCAACTCAGTTTGAAGTTCAGTCTTTCTTGTTTCTTTCTCTCTGTTTGAGCCATCATAGGTTCAAACCCGAACTGGGTATTTCAATTTCTGAGAGCTTTGGTGATCCTCGACCTGAATGGAGGTTTTTCGGCTGTGTTCGCCGGAGCTCCGGTGAGTCACAAAGCTCCCCGGTTGAGCTCCGATAACCAAAGTACCATGTTGAATTGAAGCTGAGAAGCGAAAATGTTCAAGTCGGCGCGATGGAGGAGCGAGAAAAACAAGATCAAAGCTGTTTTCAAGTTACAGTTTCATGCAACTCAGGTTTCTTTCTGAATTCAAAGGATGTGTTCATATATGCATTTTGTGTGCTCTATGTTTTTGTACATGTGTTTGCTCATTGTATTGATCGAAAGATATGTCAAATGATTGAATCTTTCTATATGAAATTGAATCTTCAAGAAATTATTGATGGCAATGTCATTGGCAAATTGGAAATTCACCCTTTGTTTCTTTCAGGGAAGCTATAGGGAATGTATAGAATGTAATAGGGAAAATCTCAATTAAATAAAAGCAACTCAATCTTCTTACTTGTTCACTCGTTTGGATTACTCTTGAGTAGTGGGCTCAATTGATCAGCAATTTTGAAACTCAAAATTATTATACAATTCCTTTTACCTGCATTTCCTTGGCAACCAAACTTTGAACTAAGGGATCAAGGGTTTGTGAATTCAGGTATCCCACATAGCTGGGGATGCATTGATTATATCTGTGGTTCCTGCGGATGTTGGAAAGGCGACATTCAGATTAGATAGAGCGACAATTAAAGATGGAAGCTGTTATTGGGAGAATCCGGTGTATGAAACAGTGAAGTTCGTTCAGGAGCCTAAAACGGGGAAGATTCATGAAAGAATCTATCATTTTGTTGTATCAACTGTAAGACATGTCCCCAATCTACAGGAATTTATGTTATTTGCTATGTTAAAAAGTGACATAATTGTGTGAATTCATACAATGGTTTATTGTAGGGGTCATCAAAGGCTGGTGTTGTTGGAGACGCTTCCATTGATTTTGCAAACTATGCTGAGGCAACTAAGATATCCTCCATCTCTCTTCCCCTTAAAAATGCAAAATCTGAGGCTTTATTGAATGTTAGTCACTCTCTTCCTCTCTCTTATACACCCACCATGCACATTTAGTTTTGTCACAAATAACACATTTTGTCCGAATTCAACCTTTATGGAGATCTCTGCTTGCCAATTCTCTCACGTGATTAATTGTGTTCTACTGGATGTGGAGATTCCTCATGCATGCATTGTTGTTTTTGGAATAGGTTTCAATTCAAAGGATGCAGGATTCTATTGATCAAAGGTGAATAAATTATGTCATTTCTTTTCATAGTCAATCCTTAGAATGTTCAGTGTGGCATGGAATTGAGTTTAATCGTGAATATGTGCTTTCCTGAGTCTTTTACAGAGAAGTTGAAGAAACTGAATATGCAAAACCTAATGCACATGATAGGAGCTTGAGGGCGCAGTTTACCAATGGTGGTGCAGACAGAAGCATCAAAAGCAATTCTGCTGAAGTAAGGACTCATATCATCTTCTCAAATGCTAAATCTTGTTTTCTTTGGCTTACTGCTTGAAAGTGAATGAGGCTGTTGAATTCATTCCCTTCCATAATAGAAATCAGCGTAATCCCAAGGAATAATTTATTGTGTTTTTATCGTCATTCTTCACCAGGATGAGCCTTTTAATAAGACCATTTCTGATGTTGCTGAGGTAAATGGGAACCGACGGGCTTCTAGTGGATCTGATGTTACATTGTCAAGTTCTGACAGCGGCTCTGGACTTGATACACCACGAGAACTTGGAGTGAAGAAAAATGACATCCATGACTCTAATGGCTTCATATCATCAGATGGTCATGCCTCAGTGCCTCAGCAGACAAACATTGATGCCTCAATAATAATTTATGATGAGCATCAAAGATCACAGTGGGAGTGGCTAGGAGGTTCTGCTCCAGAAGCAAGTACAGATGACTCATCAAGCAGTCCGAGAGGAACCCTTATACAAGAAAGGTCTCAAGAGGCTTCAGATACAGTGATTGAAAAGTTCAAAGCTGAGCTTGCTGTTTTGTCTAGGCAGGCAGAAATGTCAGAGTTGGAACTACAGACTCTCCGTAAGCAAATTGTGAAGGAAAGCAGAAGGGTACAAGATCTCTCAAGAGAAAATGTTAGCCTGAAGGAAGAGAGGAATGTTTTGAAAAGAGAGAGTGAAAAGCTGAAGGCTGTTCAGGAACATATAAATGAAGCAAAAGTTAAGAACAAGGTACAATTTGAAGGAGGTGGTCCTCAGGCTTTTCTTGAAGAACTCAAACAAGAATTGAGTTATGAGAAAGATCTAAATGCCAATCTTCGTTTACAGCTTCAGAAGACGCAAGAATCGAACTGTGAGTTGATTCTGGCTGTGCGTGACCTAGATGAAATGGTGGAGCAGAAGAATAGGGAGATAATAAATATTTCTAACAAGTCCATAACAAGTGGGAATGCCAAACAGTTGCAACGAACAAACTCCCAAAGTGAAACAGATGTTGATGAAGAGCAAAAAGCATTAGAAGAGCTCGTTAAGGAGCACAGTGATGCCAATGAAGCATATCTACTGGAGCAAAAGGTCATGGACCTATGTAGTGAGATAGAGATATACAGGAGAGATAAAGATGAGCTTGAGATGCAGATGGAGCAGCTTGCCCTTGACTATGAGATTTTGAAGCAGGAAAATCATGATATCTCATATAAACTGGAGCAAAGTCAGCTCCAAGAACAACTCAAGATGCAGTATGAATGTTCATCTTCTTATGCCATCATCCATGAGCTTGAAACCCAGATTGAGAGCTTGGAAGAAGAACTCAATAAGCAATCAAAAGAATTTGCGGACTCCAGAGTCAGCATAAATGAGCTTGAAACTCATGTCAAGAGCTTGGAGGAAGAACTAGAAAAGCAGGCCCAAGGATTTGAAGCTGATCTGGGAGATCTTACATGTGCCAAGTTTGGGCTCGAAACCCAGATTGAGAGCTTGGAAAATGAACTCAAGAAGCAATCAAAAGAATTTTCAGACTCCGTAGTCGCCATAAATGAACTTGAAACTCAAGTCAAGAGCTTGGAGGAAGAACTAGAAAAGCAGGCACGTGGATTTGAAGCTGATCTGGAAGATCTCACGCGTGCCAAAATCGAGCAGGAGCAGAGAGCCATACGAGCAGAGGAAACCTTGAGGAAGACACGGTGGCAAAATGCTAATACGGCAGAGAGGCTCCAGGAGGAATTTAGAAGACTCTCTCTGCAAATGGCATCTACTTTTGATGCCAATGAGAAGCTGGCTATGAAAGCATTGACTGAAGCCCATGAACTCCGTTTACAGAAAAGCCATCTTGAAGAAATGCTCCTGAAAGCTAATGAAGAGCTCCAGTCAGTTAGGGACAGTTATGAAGATAAATTAGATGATCTTTCCAGCCAAATAGCTTCAAAGATGAATCAAATTGAGCAGATGCAGTCAAAAGTTGATGATAAATCCAAACAGCTTGAACATACAAAAAACCATGATGAAGAAACTCACAGGAGCCTCTCACAGGAAATCCGAATGCTCAGGGCTGAGATGGTAAAACTCACAAAAGAAAATAATATCCTTTCTGATCAAGCAGAAGAGAAAGAAACTCTGAGAGCTGAACTGGAACAAATGAAAGCATCAATTATGGAAGCTGAAATGCTGTCAGAAAGTCAAAATACTGAAAAAATTAAACTACAAAACACGATCACTCTGATGAAGAAGGAAATGGAGAACTTACTGGAAGAATTAAACGTTATGAGGTGTCTTAATGAGGAGAAGGAATTTGTAGTTGGAAATCTGCAGTTGGAGGTGGAAAGCTTTAAAGTCCAATGTGATGAATTGAGACATACGTTGATGGAGGATGAGTTGGAGAGCGGGAAACTCAGGAAGCAGGTACTCCAATTAAAAGCAGACCTAAAGAAGAAGGAGAATGCATTCAATGGTATTGAGAAGCAGCTCAAGGATAGCAGTGGTCGAGCAACAGGTTTGGATGTAACCAAATCGATTTCAAGAAATAACAGATCTATCCCTGCTCCTCGTAGCTCTAAAGAGATTGTGAATCAGAAGGAGAAAATAAAATTTCTCGAGGTAAATTTGCCACTCCATATATAGCATATTGAAATAAAGTTCAAGAAGTTAGGCATTATTTCTAGGTCAGGTAGTCATTTAGCCTAATTGACTGTTTTCATGACCAACAGGATAAGATAAAGCAGAAGGAAACTGCTCTTGAAACCTCAACAAATAAATTTTTGGAGAAGGAGAAAGATCTTCAGAATAAAATCGACGATTTAGAAAGAAGACTAGAAGAACTTGATCGAAACAGCACCAGTATTTGTGAATATGAATGCGGGAAGGTCAGCAACGTTGAAAACATTGGATTCCTGCATTAGAATCAACTCTTCTCTCATAACTATTTATTCTCCTCTAGTAGTTGTCTTTACTGCTGCATATTAGCTGTTTAGTGTGAGTGTGCTCTCTCAATTCTGTTTTTGTTTGGGGGGTACAACCTTTTGAAGGCTGTATTTATTTTAGTGTTTTTGAGTTATTGCTTGGCTTAGTCAACTGGATTCCTCTATCAAGTTTGAATATACAAAATATCAAGTTGCACTTTATTTTGGTTTCATTCTATAATAGCTTCCAAATACAATGCTATTGTTTGTTAAGCAATTACTTACACAATTGTTTATTATGGGATGCAGGTAGCTGAGGAAGCTGGTGACCTCACTCAGAATGGTAACACTAGTGGGAATTTGAGCATTATGCCATCAATGTCCAATGGAAGTCGAAAAAGGTATGGCTTGTTGGAAAATAATTTCCCTGTTCCTTGTGTTGGTTTTGCTGTACTTTTTCTTCTATTTGCTGTACATGGGAGAGGGTAATCCAGCTGAGAGCAATTGTCTCAAAACAGTGCACTAACACCTTTTTAGACACTATTCATCGATGTTTCAATCATACCTTTTTTAAATGCTGCAGCATGGATGAAATTTTAACCGAGAAAGAACAGATGGTCTCTGCTATTGATACCAAAGATCAAACAGACCTTCAGGAGTTACTAAATGAAATGGCAATACTGAAAGAGAGGAACAAATTGATGGAATGTGAACTGAAGGAAATGCAGGAGAGATATTCAGAAATAAGTCTCAAATTTGCCGAGGTAGAGGGTGAAAGACAACAGCTTGTAATGACTGTACGCAACCTTAAAAACACCAAAAAGAGCTAGTAGCTACTCCCTAAAAAACTGGAAACTGGCTGCTATGGATAGGCTTCTCTTTGCGGAGAGTCCAGATGTGACAGTTCTTGGAGTATCGTCAACAATAAAATCATATGTAAATTCGTAATATATGTTTTTTTGTTCTTGCAAATAATATGTATTTTTCATTGGTTATAGTAGAAATTCACCAAGTTTTCCCGTGTAGGTTGATGCTCTTCTGTATACACAATCCTCAAACTTCTATGATACATGTGAAAACATTTGATTAAGAATATATTCTATTGACTTATGTTTGTTAAAATCAGTTTTATCTCTTTACTAGCAGAATTATAGTGATCACATTGAGCAGTTTCTCTTCTTTTTGGTTTATTTTATCTGCATTCTCCTCTTTGGTTGTTTTGTTTGCGCTTGTTAGTTCATTATGCTTTGATTGTGACTCACTTCCTCTTATATATGGTTAGGGTAAAACTTGAAATTATACGCTCTGCTTTAAAAAACAAATCTTAGAATACGTGCTCGAGAAACTAATCCTGCTACTAGGGAACTACATCTTGGAGTTGATTACCTATTTTGGTACACAAAAAGGCTATCAATTTATATCCTTTAAACCAAAATCCTAACTTTTTAGTTTTAGTTAAAAACATACAGAGGACAGGAGGTCAGGTGAAGCTAGCAGCTACTTTTAGAAGCAAATCAACCGCTTTCTGAGATAGAACTCACCTAAGAAGAGCCACAAGCCAGAAGGGCAAGAGCCAAAGATCGCTTGAGTCTGTCTTGACTTAGAAACTGAGCCTTTTCTATTAACAACTAGTTTATGAGAAGGAAATATGTCAGATTTAGACTATTTGTTCCAGAATCAATGCTAGTTCTAAAAACCACACCATGGTGGTTGCTCTCTTTGCTCATTTTCTCCGGCTGATACAGCCAACCAGTAATGGACTGTCACAAACTGAGAAACCTGTGTTGTGCATATCACCAAAGTCGGCCAGGCCAGGAACCACCATGGAGCAGACCCCGGCGTTGTTTCTTTTGGATAGTGCAAGGGCCGGCCAGAGCAGAGCAGCAGGGTGTAGCTGACCCCTCGCATGACACCATTCCTGGACCTAGGAATAGACCGTTGGTCCATGTATGAATACAAACGGGATCAAACTCTTCTTTGTTTGAGTTACTTTCACGCACATAGATTAAAAGGTCTCACTTTTCGTGGATTGAACAAGTAGAGCTCTTCTTGGCGCCGTATTTTTGTGTTTTTTTTGGGGGGCAGTCTTAACAAATCTTCTATTAGGATTTCTTATCACGCCGCACAATTGATGCTCTATTTTTTTTTTCCCTCTTTTTGGGAAGGAAGAATGGAGCTTAAATCCTTAATCTCAAAAAGATAATTTTTTTTCAAGATAAAGAGTATCATTGGATCAAAAGCCTATACGTAATTGAGACTCTATTTGCTTCTTCATTCATAAACTGGAAAAATACAAGCCTGCAAGATTGTCGGCGACCCGAAAAGCTCTTTCGAAGAAAAAAAAACCTTCATATCCCTGCCTACCATTGAAAGGATATATTTGTATCCTACAGGGATAACAAATCGGGCTAATTATTCACAGTTTCCGCATGATCAACTCATAAACAGTCACAAGAGCCATCATTAGTGAATGATCTGTTTGGGGTTCCACCACCAAAGTTAATACATCATTGCCCAAAAGGACACCAGAAGATAACTGCTTTTGTTTAACCTGCACAAACCCCAAATCACAAGAACTGTTAAAGTGTTATTCACTTCTATAAGTACAACTCTTGAATAACGAAGCACCCAAAACCATACTTTTGCAATTAAATATTATTCGGGTACTTTTGTGATTAACTACTTCATATAGAGTTTTGGGTTTAGGATTTAACCTCTGCTGCTAATGCGCCATCATCGTCTATGATCTTGAATGCTGATTTTCCAGCCAACCCGACTATCCGGTAGCATCTTGCTTTGGCCTTATCACGACCCAAAATGACACGACAGATTATTTCTTTACTAAGAAGCCTGCAATATTTCCTCACTTGAAACAATGGTCTCTCCTTCTTCATTCTGCTATCACCCCATTTATAGCCCTCCCATCGTCCAAAAACCTGAAGTTTCTGCCAAATAAATAGAAACAAAGAAACCCATTTGAGTGGTAATGATTTCGAAGCTCAAATTGAGTTCATGGTTCAAAGTGTCAATAGATACCCATAACAACTGATCAGTGCTAACTACCTTGACCCTTAAACCATGATTGAGTTAGGTAAAGTGAAGACAATACTCAATTTTGTTACCTTCTGTCGTATAGAAAAGAGAACTTTGCCTCGGAGATTCATGAGATGAACTTCATCACAGCACTTTTCGTTGTAGTTATCAATTCGATAAACGATTTCGCCATTGGAGTCAAAGACAGTGCAGCCATTTCCTTGGAACATTAGTGACTTCATCCATATAGTAAACGTTTCTCTTTTTGAGGTCAAGCTGGATGCAAAAGTGGGTGTCTGGGGGTAAACCTTAGCCATTGAAATTAGGCCTGAAACTACAGAAAGTATATAGATTGTAAGAGGAGAGACCTCTCCAGCAGTTTATATATGAATGGTTCCAGGAACATAGGTGGGAGAGTTCAAATGTTTTTTTTTTTTTTAGGTTTCGACGATGAGGGATGTCTGAACTAATTTATACGTATTTCACTTAGTCTTTTCTCTGGCTGCGGCCGCAATTAGGATATTTATGAGAAATAAATTCATTATCATCTGGTCCTAAGGAGTTGTCAAATTCAAACTCACGATGTCTGAATTTACAACTCGTCCTTATGACCACTTTAGCTATCCTTAAAGTTAGTTCAAATGTTTGAGTGCGTTGTTGTTATACTTTATATAAACAAGATATTCTATTTTATTAGCTAATCAACAAAAATTGGATAAAATTTTACTACATTAAAGAATTACTTTAAATATTGTAACAAAAGCTTTTATAAAATAACAAGCAAAAAAAGCTCTTATAAAATAAAGACGAAATTTATAACTCGAGATTATAACATAATATATTGTTATGAGAAATTTATTCCTCACAAATACTCTAGTCCCGGCATAAATAACACATATTTAACCAGACCGAAGAAGGAATTAGTTAAAATATGTGTAAATTAACATTTCTAATTGTTAAACTAAAAAAAAATTATAGCTAATTTTTGTTTAATTATAAATTTTGATATAATATAAAACTCGATATTATTGCTATACACACAAAATTATAATAGATGGCAATGTGATTCACATGAATTCTTAGAACAATGAGAATTTGAAGGATTCAGATAAAGGTAAGGTTGAAACTTGAAAGGCATCTCTGTTGGTTGACTCCAAAATCCACTTGTCTGCAGCGTGGCCCATCCATCATGTCACATGCAAGACTGCACAATCATTAATTTTCGTTTTAGTCCCTTAATTTTTAGTATTTTCAATCACGTCTCTTACTTTCAATGTAGTTTCTGTTCAATCTAACCAAAAGCCGTAAATTTTCACTATAAAGTCACAGTCCGACTTGTTTTTTACCATGTCCATGCCAAGTAGTATCGTAATAATAGTCACCTCTATTATCGAGTGACCGCTACATATCATGTCCATACCATGTAGTCTTGTGTTAAGTTTATTTCTAAAATAATTGGGATTGTTTGATAAGTGAGATTAGAGAATTTTGAAAGACGAGTTAGAGAAAAATAGTTCAAATAACACATTAAACCCATGATTGACCAAAAATTTGAAGCCTGAGTTATCAAACCCAACCTACTATTGGTCTGGACCTTAAACCATAGATCATGAGTTTCATCAAACCTAAGGAGGTAAGTTTCAGATGAGGGTTAACGGATTCAGGATACAAAAAGACAATTTTATCTCATACATATACAAGTATGGGTTTAGATTAAATTGGTGAAAAGACAAAATAGTCATTTATATACAAATATATTATCATAATAGTAATATATTCGTTGACATACTAAACATGAGAATAAATTGAATTTAATGTTAAATTTTATTTTTGTAAAGAAGAGTTTGAATTTGGAAGGATTTGGGGAAGTCAATCCAAATCCTTTCCAAAATCCATTCAAACAAGCCCTTGGTGGATTCACGTAACACTACAATGAAAGTTGGGGAGGTAAAATTAAAATTTAGGAACTAAAATGAGGGCGGGTGTGTATTTTCTAATTGGTAGTCGGTGGTGGTGGGATATAGAGAAGTGAAGGCATTTGCGTATACAAATTGGTCAGAGCTGACTTGGACACGTTTAATGCATTTATTTATTGCGTATATACTAGCAAAACACATTGTATGGGTAAATTTGTTGTATCAATTTTGGTATCGTATCTGCAAACGGTCATTTGGTCTAATGGTATTTTTTGTCTTGTAAAAATTTTATTTTCTTAAATTTAAGGGTTCAAACCTCCTCCCCCTCCCCCTCCCTCAAAAAAAATAAAAAATTGGTATCGTATCAAATTTATTAGTAAATAAGAACTAATTATTATAACTCATTTGAGGATAAGTTGCATTTCAAAAAATTTGTTACAACTTAAAAAATATTAGGATCAATTTGATTTTATAATGTTAGAATCAATTCCAAATCACCCTTATTGTCTAATCCGATCTTTATTTCGTAATAACTTTCGATACCCCCAAAAAAAAAAATCATTTTTGATACCCTATAATTGCTTTTATTTTTGTTGTATTTCCCTCGATGAGCAGCCCTTATCCTCCTTTTATCTATTGTCCCCCTTTTATGAAGTGCTCTGGTGGGTGTAGTTGTAAACCAGAAATTTGTAGATGGTGTTCAAATTGAAAATTGGAGGTGGTTTCCTTATCACTGCGTGATGAAGAAGATGTGACAGTTGATTACTTAGAGTAGAACGATCGTCATGCGTTTAAATTTTAAAGTTCAATGAAAAAGAAAAAAATGATAAGGGAGAAAAAATAAGTTGGACTCGAAATTGACTAAAACCAGCGGTGTTTGATTCAAATCGAGCCAACTACCAAGACTCATTACTTTGTCACGAGTTCTTTTAGTTTTAGGCCGAACTCCAACGTTCAGACTTTCAAAAATTCAAAAATTAATTTTTAGGAAAGAATTCAAAAATTAGTTTTAGANTATTTCCCTCGATGAGCAGCCCTTATCGTCCTTTTATCTATTGTCCACCTTTTATGAAGTGCTCTGGTGGGTGTAGTTGTAAACCAGAAATTTGTAGATGGTGTTCAAATTGAAAATTGGAGGTGGTACAATGAAAAAGAAAAAAATGATAAGGGAGAAAAAATAAGTTGAACTCGAAATTGACTAAAACCAGCGGTGTTTGATTCAAATCGAGCCAACTACCAAGACTCATTACTTTGTCATGAGTTCTTTTAGTTTTAGGCCGAATTCCATCGTTCAAACTTTCAAAAATTCAAAAATTAATTTTTAGGAAAGAATTCAAAAATTAGTTTTAGAAAAGAATTCAAAAATTAATAATAAATCATAGAAGATTCTAAATTCAGTGTCGTCAGTTTTTGTTAGACTCTAAACGACTCGTGCTTTTATTTGGATTATAGTTTTATATTTTTGACTCTATTATCAAGATGATTAGGGTATTGGTCGTTTCCATATATATCTTTTATATAATACGAATTATTCATTGAATAATATATATTTTTCAGAGATATTCTATTATTCCTTTTTTATGTGAATTCAGAATACTTTTGTTATCTAAACTTAAAAACAGTATTTTTCTTTGAGTTCCGTTGCGTCACTCTGGGCCTTAACCATTATGTTCAAATTTGAACATAAAGAATTTCCACCAAACAATATCATTTATATCATTAAAAACTTTAAAAGCAACAACGTGTGAGTTGTGATCACACACCTCATATGTTGTACATACATATCATTAAAGCCTTAAAAAGTACATAATTCTCTAGCTATTATGTTCGTTCATTTTTACTTAAAAGTATTATCACGTACCAAACACAGAATATTTGTTTTTAATTTCAACCAAATACGTTGCGGTTTTAGCCTAAAATATCCAGTGGAGGTACTTGGGCNTAAAAAAGTACATAATTCTCTAGCTATTATGTCCGTTCACTTTTACTTAAAAGTATTATCACGTACCAAACACAGAATATTTGTTTTTAATTTCAACCAAATACGTTGCGGTTTTAGCCTAAAATATCCAGTGGAGGTACTTGGGCCAGTCCCGCATTAGTGAACAATATAGGCTGGGCCACCCACCCAACCGAAGTTTGTCTACAACTTTTTATCGGGTCATTTTTAATGGGTTCTTAGTGGGTTTCTCATCGGGTTGATCCTAATGGAACTTCAAAAGGTTCATATTGGGTTTTTACTTTTTTACTAAAATTAATGTGTCTTAATAAATGTGTGGATCCAACGTAACACGATTAACAAATAAATTAAATATGAATGAAACCAATCAGAGGAAATACACGATACAAATTCGATATGACACGATTCATTAGACACGAATTAATAAATAAATTAAGTATGAATGAAGGGTTTTTTGACATGAACCTGCTAANGTTTTTACTTTTTTACTAAAATTAATGTGTCTTAATAAATGTGTGGATCCAACGTAACACGATTAATAAATAAATTAAATATGAATGAAACCAATCAGAGGAAATACACGATACAAATTCGATATGACACGATTCATTAGACGCGAATTAATAAATAAATTAAGTATGAATGAAGGGTTTTTTGACATGAACCTGCTAAAACTAGATACAAATTCGTCTGACCTAATACGATTGACAGGCATATAGTCATTATCATCCTCTCTATGTCTTCAAAGCAGTAAGCAGTAACTCTTTTCTTATTCGTCCTTCAAATGACGCTAGTACAGGCTAATTCCTTTCGGCTAATGAAGAAATTACTCACNCGATTGACAGGCATATAGTCATTATCATCCTCTCTATGTCTTCAAAGCAGTAAGCAGTAACTCTTTTCTTATTCGTTCTTCAAATGACGCTAGTACAGGCTAATTCCTTTCGGCTAATGAAGAAATTACTCACTCTTCCAATCAATCATTTTAAGGAATAATAAAATCAAAATATTAACAATCTCGTTTAATATACAAAGTTTGAAACAAGCCATTCCAACTATATATATAACCTCAATTTCTAACAATAGTATTAGTAGAGTCTAAAAAAAACCAAAAAGCCTTTTTTCGGAAAAACAAAGTAACAACTAGCAATTGTTATATCGAGAAAAAAAAATAAAAAAAAAAGGTGAACAGAACAACTTGATACTTTATTTAGAGTAAGATTCATAGTGATGGAACCTGCAAACATTGTGCGACCAAACCACTAACCTCTTTGCTCTTTTTAGGGTTTTACTATTGCAAGAAGCAAACAGTTTTAGGACGTACTTCATGCTATATATATATATATATATCAGATCATGGCCATCTAATCTAACTGAATCTTTTTGAATTTCTTGCTCTTTAATTTACTTTGATTGCGATGGGGACAGCACACCTACCTCTTCCATTTTAGTTGAGCTTAACCACACTTATCATGATTGAGATAGATAGTCTTAATAATTCATCATACAGAATGAACAAGCACAAAGAGTAATCTACATGAAATAGCAAAATGAACTATTTATGTAACCCACATTACCATTGGCACAATAAAAAGACTTGCTAGTTGTTACCTCGTGTGTTTATTTTTATCTTTCACATAGTCGGTCCAAATCTGGGTAAAGAAAAAAAATTGTGTTAGATAACTGACACTGAACATAAAACTTGTCGGCTCTATAATGAATATGAACATGAAATTGAGTTACCATTATGTAGCGGATTAGTCTTTTAATCTTTTAGAAGGTGCAAAAAAGAAATTAGTCGTGGAGGCTGTGGGGAGAAGTAATTATCTAATGGAAAAACTTAACAAAAGGGGTCCTAAAGCAAGAGAGGTCCTCATCAAAGAAAGCAGATGGAGGAGAGGAAGACAAAGGGACCCCCATTCCAACATGCATGCATATATGGGTTTTTTTTTAAAAGCACCAAAAGACCATCTCTCTTTTGAAAAACCCTAGCCACAGTGGGCCCAACTTTTCCAATGCTTCATTTGATACAGACAGATGATATAATATGCAACCCAAGTTCTGTAAAACCCTAACAGGTGTCAGAAGCAGATTGGCCATCTGGGTACACAAAGTAATGAACTTTCTCTCTCCTATGACTTTTCTTGTATTAACCCAATGAACCTTGGAAGCCTATGATAAATCAGGAAGGTTGAGCTTAGCTGAGTCTTGCTCAAATAATTTTGTTTTGAATAATCAGAAGCTTTTTGACTTAAAAATGCCTATCCATGCAATGTCTTGCTTGGAAGCATTGTCAGTGGTGACTGGTGAGGACCCTTCATGCTTAAACAATCTATATCTCTTCTTTCACCCGCCAACATATACACAAGTCGGATTAAGTTATTTCAAATCAATGGGGACTAGAGAAAATGTCAGCATAGAATATGAAGATACTAATCATTTGAGAACTGGATTGAAAATGTTAACGTTTGAACCATTTGAATTTGAATCCCTGCTTCTTTATTCATGTCCATTTTCTAAGCTGAAAGGTACATTTTTTTTTATATTCATCAATTTGTATGGTTAAAAAGAAAGAGTGGGTCGTCACTGTCTTGTGAAAATTGAATCCAAAGTTTTATTTATTTTTTTATCATAGGATGTCTAACTTGTACTGATTACTTCTTCGAGTTCAACAACTGGCAACCGTAGTTTAAACTGGATTAAAACATATATTTTAATAGATAAACATGACTGTGAAAAGAGATTAAACCTGAGTACTCTAAGTTACCAAAAACTACAATCATTGAACCACCCCTAAAAATTTGAATCTTAGTCTTAGACATGGTAATGTTTAATATTTTTTCACTGCATACACATCTCGTCTTTACTTATAAGTTCGAATCTCAGTCTTCACCATACAAATTAATATATAGGTGACATACACTTCTTTTTGAGTGTGAAACTTTCCCAAAGAAAGAGAAGGAGAGGAGAGAGGCAAAAGATTGCGTTTAAAAGTGTCAATCAATTCATATAGTGTCCATGTCATTATTCATATTAATTATTACACAGCCACTTAATTCGAAAACTATTCATACAATATTAACTAAAGAAATAAAAAAATATTCATTTTCTTGTTATAAAATTTTTATTTTATACTCTCAAATATTAAAATTTTCACATAATCTAATTTTTGTCAAATGGGCCCATTAAAATATCACAATGTGATAAAAGAATTAATTCAAAAAGATCCCCCAATTCCAATTAACAATTCGTTGGGACCTTTAGGAGTAGTCTATTCAATCACAAATTTTTATTTGTTTTACCATTTAATAACTTATAATCCGATTATCAAAAGTGTTGCAATGCGATTCTTCTATTAATTTTTCGATAGTTTTTATATCAGTGTCAATAGGATGACTTTTGACGCAAAAAATATAACGTTTTTAATACATAGCGAGTGCAATGTAAAAATTTAATCTTTGAGGGTAAAAAGTAAAAATCTTAAAAAAAATTAGGGTACAAAATATAATTCGTCCTTTACTTTTTATTAATTTCATTTTTGTATTTACTCAATTAAGTAAATATTTTAGTATCCATAAAAAACATAATACAATTATTAAAGCTCAAAAACAAGTCAAAAGAAGGAGGGAGAGAGAGAGGGTGGGGGTGTTTGCCAGCCGTAACAACTAAACCTATTGTTGAATTGATAAATGAGAGGGATTAATTAAACTTCATAATCACCACTCTCACTCTCTAAACCTAATTTCTTAATTGACAGCTGTCTGTCTCCATCTTCTTCTCTTTATACAATTATTTCGTGATATTTTGATGATTATGATAAATGAGTGACGAGTTAAACTTACAAAACTACCAGTCTACTACCATTACCATGGCGTGTGCTTCCAACTTGCGTTCATCAGGAGGCACATGATTAATGGCGCATGATCCGGAGGAGTTCATAATCGCTCTTACAAATTACCCATTTTGCCCCTGGTGAATTTTTGTATGGGCTCCATTTGTCCAGACTTAATATATTTTTCTTTCAGTTTTCAAGGATATTCAATTATTTATAAGTGAGGGTTCACTTGTATATAGTGAGTCTTACTTAAACGCATAATAAGTGATTCACCAAAAAAAAAAAAATCGAAAATAAAATGTAATGAAGAGAATTTCAATTTAAGTGGGTGTCTTAACTCTTATTAACTTCATTAATAAATTAAATTCTAAGGCTAGCATTTTGTATATGAGGGCCTTTTTGTGAGGCTAAAAGCTATGTCTTTGTCATAATACCTAAAACTTATTTGATGGTTTTGTCTTAAATCAACTGTCATGTCATTTGCGATCTAAATTTAATCTCAAATTTTAGTCAGTCTAACATTACTGTTTGTCGAATATCAATGGATGGTGTGAATAACTAAGTGGTACGAGCAACGACTCTATCTTAGCATACTATGAGTTACTTGCGAGGTCACGATGAGTAAAGTATAGAAACGGGACAGGAGTAGATTGAGTTCTAGAAACACTATAGTAAATAAAAAGAGTTGAATGAGCTCTGATGGTCCAAAGTACATGGATGCAAGTTGTAACAAATCAATAGATGATAAAACACACAAGAAGATGAGTGGTTCACAAGCTGAAAAGGTTGGATAATCCATTTTAATAGAGATCATTGCCTCTTTTTTAGTGTATTGCTTGAAGAGAAGAAGTCACTTATTACAAAGAGTTCAATCTATTTTTAGTAGGGCATCATATTTTATTTATACATTAGTAGGTTTTTGACTTTTTCCACCATTGTGGTTCTCTCAATCCGTTAAAATTATTGAGAAATATTTGGTCCTCAGAGACAATTGTATGTATTGGACACGTGGGCTTCTAAAAACAATGAGGTTGTGTTCTTGAGGCGGTAGCTTGCTAGCTTGTTGAGCTATTCCTCTCCTTCTAGTAGCAAGATCTAAACTATCATGATAGTAGCTAAACTGCTTGGATATCACTCGGTGATCTAAGAGTTTGTATACTTGTGCTAGATGGCTCGGGACAGGTCAGTCTAACCGATCTTAGTAATGCTGAGTTGTAATGAATTAAGTTGAGCTATGATTTATAATCTCATTATCAATAGTTTTAGAATTCAATTTTGGAACCAAAAGAAGTACGATATTGAAATTTATAAGTTTTGTTGGTTAAAAATAAAAATATTTGGAGTTTATTTACAATAAAAAAAATTATAATTGTTTGGGTTAGGTTACATTTTTTAGGGCTCCAAGTTAAAAAATTTTGGAGCTCAAGTTAAATGAGCCCAAAAAATTGTACATGATAGTGCGATACCATTTATATATATATAACTACCATAGACTTCTCCATAGTTTTTTGATATCTTATGAAAATTCATGGGATGTTAGTATAATTTAATCAAAATAAAGAGAAGAAGAGAACAATTTGTTATTAAGTGAACACGATCCGTTAAACACAAATTAATAAACAAATCTGATATATAAGTTAAATATTTGAAAAATATCACATAAACCAAATAAAATTTAAAAATTAAAACTCAAATACATATCATTCCATAGATAAGTGTAGGATGAGCGGGTCCCATTAAAAAATTGATGAGACTCACTCATATAAGAGATTACGTGTATTTGAGTTGTAATTTTTTAAATTTTATTTAAATTTTATAGTATTACTTTAAACATTTTTTTATACAAATCTATTAAAACTCGATATAAACCCGCCTCGCTGGGGAGATACAATTGAGACCCTTCTCATGGCCAGATGGATCGGTTTTGGGTCAAGTTGGAAGAATTTCACCTCTGGAAGGTGATTGAAAAATGGAAAGTTTCCGAAGGTGTTGAATTTTGCATATCGCGAGATGTATCACGTTCAGCAACTAACCCACGGCTAAAACAATCATTAGCACGATATATTTTAGCTGTTACGCCACTTCTCCACTAATTTGAAAATAAATAAATTAATTAATTAATTAAAGATTTTTGAAAACCCAACAGAAAAAATAAATCCAAAAACCGCCATTTTTAATGCCAAACACAAACAAAACATTCCACAACCCAAATCTCTATCTCTATTTTTGCTTATCTATTGATATGAATATATGATTTCTGTTCATCAGTTTACCCATTTCTTTTCCAACATCTTCTGTTACTCTATGTCTCACTCTTTCTCTCTCCTTCTGACAACAAACCTCTCTTTGAATCTAAGTTTAATTTAGTATGTCTTTTAACTCCACTCTCTCTCACTCTTCTTTCCAGTGAATTGCTTTCATGGGTTGTTGCAGATTTATAATTTACCACTAAGCTTGCTTCAGTTTTTTTTTTCCTCCCCACAAAAGTAATCTGTTTTCTTAAGTTTTCTTTGTCTTCTTGTTGATAAACCCACCATTGTATTTTGGGTAGTTTGTAATTTCGTTCGTTCTTTCTTTCTTGATAAAACCTCTTCCCCTACTTAAATTGGTTCCTTTTCTTTTCGCTTTTCCTTTTCTGGGTTTCTTTTCTTTTTCTGGGTTCTTGGTTCGTTTAAAATCACTACAGTTTTCTTGAGAAAGTGTGGAGCTTTCCCGAGAAAATGAGACAACTGAATTCATTTCAAGTTGTATTCGTCAGTTTGGGACTCTTTCTTGCAACTTGCGACGCTTTTGCATCAAATGAAGGTATGTGTTGTCTATTTACATTTTCTTTGTATTACAGATCTTGATTCAGGTGCTCCTGAGAATCTGTGTATTAATTTCTTGTAAGATAAATGGGGATGGTAATTGTAACATTCATTTCAATGTAAGGTGTGATTGAACTATTGCTTGGGAATATTTTGGATCTTTTGGTGTTAAAGCCTGTGTATCTATATGTCTGTGGTGAAAATTTTTTTGTTCATAATGATTTTTCTGACTGGGAATTCTGGGTGAATAACAGTTTATGCCCTCACTACATTCAAGGAAGCTATATATGAGGACCCACTTTTGGTTCTGTCAAATTGGAATGCCCTAGATGCAGATCCTTGTGACTGGTCCGGCCTCACCTGTTCCATGGCTCGAGATCATGTCATGAAAATGTAAAGACTGCTTTGTCTACTGCCTTTCACTTTATGAATAAATGGTTGTATTTGATTAACAAAGATTAGGAATTGATAATAGTACCAGTTTAAGGCTAATTTGATATCAATGTGTGGTGGAACTCTGTTATGCAGTAACATTTCTGGGGCATCTTTAAAGGGCTTTCTTGCACCAGAGCTGTATCTACTCTATTCCTTGCAAGAACTGTAAGCTTTCTTTCCCCAAATCATACTCACATTTTATTCTTTTATTTTTATTGTTATTCAGAATTTTAACCTAGCGTTCTGATGATCTATAGAATTCTTCACGGGAATTATCTGATTGGTATAATACCCAAAGAAATTGGTATGTTAAAAAACCTCAAGGTCTTGGATTTGGGTGTGAACCGGCTTTCCGGACCAATTCCTCCTGAGATTGGGAATTTAACCAGGATTGGGACTATGTAAGTGAAGTTTTAGTCTTTGACACAGCGCATTTTGAATTGGATTTTGATGCTTGGTACTACTTGGCTTTCTCATGAATTATTTCCTGTGTTTTGGCAGAAACCTTCAATCCAATGGATTGACAGGGAGATTGCCTCCTGAGCTTGGCAATTTGAAGTACCTCGAAGAACTTCGGCTGGACAGAAATAAGCTTCATGGAACTGTCCCTGGAAATAACAGTTCAGACTTGGCTTCCAAGATACGCGGGATGTAAGTAAAACACTCTTCTACTAGAACCATTTTAATTAGAATTGTTACCGTACTTGATGTGGGTTGAGCACTAGGCAATGTTGCTTCTGTTTTGTTGCTGCTTTTGTATTCATCCAATGTGAGCACTTGATTCATTTTTCCTTTGAATATTAATTCTGAGCAAGAAATATGGATGGATATACATCTCTGTTTCCTAGTCTACCCATTGTGCCATCACTAAAATAATTTGGTGAGGTGATCCTTATGATTTAGAAATTTGAAGATCAGAAACCTTTGCAGACAATTTTAATGTTTGAAATGCATATTTAGTATAGGCATAGAAAGCTCATGATTTGCTGGGATAGTGTTAGATCTGTCTAGTGATATTTGTGGATACGTCGATTCAGAAAGTTACTGTGGCCCAAAGCAAAGAAAAAGGATACATTACTGGACCCTTGAACCCATCTTCGAACAATATTGCTCATTTTCATTTAGTAACCCAGTTTGGTTGGTTACATGAGTATTCTTATGGTCATGCTCTTTTAAACCATTATACTATATGAAATTAGCAACCAGGAATAGAAACCTTTATCAAGGTTACATGTGTACTCTTTTGTATCGTTGTGTCCTGACCGATTTTGTGTCAAGATTGCTTGGTGTGTCAGTCACTTGAAAACCAAAAATTATTATAATCTGTTACTTCCTCTTCAGGTATGTCTCAAGTGGGAACTCTGCGGGCTTCTGTCGCTCATCTCAACTAAAAATTGCAGATTTCTCATACAACTTCTTTATCGGGAGCATACCCAAGTGCCTGGAGTATCTTCCCAGGTATCTTATATCTTTCTTGTGCTGGCTTATTATTTTGTCCATTCTTGGCTTCAACCCTTTATTTTCTGTGCAGGTCCAGCTTTCAAGGGAATTGCCTTCAAGATAGAGATCCCAAACAACGCCCTACCATGCAATGTGGTACGTTGGCATGAACCTCCTGGTGGTTGTGTAGTTGATAAGCTGCCTACTGGATAGATATAAATACTTGAAATTTTCAAATAATAATGGTAAAATTTAAAAAAGTGAAGTGAAGGCTTGTCTCCCGAAAGTCCAAACTTATATATATATATATATATGATATCTGTGTGTGTCAAAATTTGACCTGGTATTTCTCAAGTGGCTTCACTGAAGTAATATACCTAAAGAATAAGAATTCCATTAAGCTTTTGTAATACTTTTCAACCACCATAGAGTCCTTAATGGTTTCTACTTTAGCTAGCAATGATGTTTTTGTTACAGGTGGTACTCCGCCTGCCAAAAGCCATACTGGAGTCGATGCAAAACAACAGCCTGTTGAAGACAGTTCCATACATCAGGCTGCTTCAAAACCTGCCTGGCTTTTAGCTCTCGAAATAGTCACTGGAATTATGGCAGGTTCTGTTTTTCTCGTGGCTCTTCTAACTACTCTTCAGAAATGCAAAAACAAGTCTCCGATCATTATCCCGTGGAAGAAATCATCAAGCGAGAAGGACCACATGACAATTTTTATAGGTTAGGCTTTACGATATCACCTAACCTGCATTTTTTGTTTCAGAAACATCTCTATCAAGAATGGTAATTAGTTAATTTTGGTGGAGTTTCCTTTCAGATTCTGAAATGTTGAAGGACGTAGTCAGATACAGCAGACAAGAGCTTGAAGTAGCCTGCGAAGATTTCAGCAACATCATTGGGTCATCTCCAGATAGTCTAGTCTACAAAGGCACCATGAAAGGTGGTGGGCCTGAGATAGCTGTGATATCCCTTTGCATCAAAGAAGAGCACTGGACAGGCTATCTTGAGCTCTATTTTCAAACAGAGGTAGATACTGTTAATTTTGAAGTTGAATCATGCTTACCTTTAGAATATATCAAATATGTACACTCGAGTCTGTTACGCATGAATCAGGTGGCAGATTTGGCAAGACTAAATCATGAGAACACGGGAAAGTTGCTAGGCTATTGTAGAGAGAGCAGTCCTTTTACAAGGATGCTGGTGTTTGAATATGCATCTAATGGAACATTGTATGAGCATTTCCACTGTAAGTAAAGCTTCTATTTATACAGTTTATTACATACATCCATGCCTCCAATAGAAGTAAAGCCTCTGTCATTTCCGTTTTTAACTCATAAACATGGTCCAGTAGTGGCATCTAAGCTTTCTATTGAATTGCAGATGGAGAAGGATGCCAATTATCTTGGACACGGAGAATGAAAATTGCTATAGGCATTGCTAAGGGATTAAGATATCTTCACACTGAAATTGAGCCTCCATTTACCATATCTGAATTGAATTCGAGTGCAGTCTATCTTACCGAAGATTTTTCTCCGAAGGTATGCCCAAAGCTTTGAACTGATACCCAAGAGACTCTGCACAAGAATCGTAATTTATATCTGCACAAGAAGTGAAGTAGATCTCATCAATTGCTTTAAAAGAGTTTGTTAGCTGCTAGTACCTAATTCACCTATCTTGACCAAGAACAATTGAGCTTTGTAGTTTGGATTTCGGGCAACCATGGTCTCTTAAGAAACTCAATTAGGTCCATGTAAGCCGCAACATCACGAATCTCTCTGGAACTTCAAAAGGATCCAAACAGTGCATTTTACTCGTGTTCTTGGAGCTTCGAATCTTATCAGCAGAAAATTTTTTCCTTACATATTGTTTTAGTAGATGATTTAATTATGGAAATGTCAGTAGGAGTGTCACAACAGTCGTTTTCTGTAATGAAATTCTCAATCTGCACTGCAGCTAGTTGATTTTGAAAGTTGGAAGACAATTCTTTCAAGGTCAGAGAAGAACTCGGGTGATATCAGCAACGAAGGTGCTATTTGTGTCCTTCCAAATTCTCTAGAGGGACGTCACCTGGATGTCCAAGGGAACATTTATGCTTTCGGTGTACTCCTACTTGAAATTATCAGTGGGAGACCTCCATATTGCAAGGACAAAGGGTGCTTAGTAGATTGGGTATGTACTTCACATTAGTTACAAGATTTTGCATACATGTGGGAAGTTTTTCGTCATACTTTTTAAGGGATTAACTATTGTAGATAACTGAAAATCAGAAAGATAGCATGAGAGCATCGATTTTCTCCGTCTTCTGCAGGCAAAGGAATATCTTGAACTGCCAGAAGTAATGTCCTATGTGGTGGATCCTGAGCTGAAACATTTCGAATACGATGACCTCAAAGTGATATGTGAGGTGGTGACCCTCTGCATTTACCCACGACCCAACAACCCTGTATCGATGCAGGAATTGTGCACCATGTTGGAAAGCAGAATCGACACATCTGTTTCTGCAGAGCTCAAGGCGTCTTCTTTGGCATGGGCTGAGCTTGCACTTTCGTCGTGATCAAGTCAAGCTGACACATTGTAAATCATATATATATATACACAAGTGTAATACTCTCTCCTTTTCTTTCCACTTCCAATTATCTCTTAGTTTCTGTAAATGGTTGCATGCTGAAAGAAACGTCGAGCCTCATTGATGGAAAATCCTCATTTCTTTGTATACCCTCGGTTCATCGGTCAGAGATATTTAAATCAATTTATATACATTTTGACTAATTCTCTTTTTAATTTGATCAAAAATATACACTGAAATCAAAATAATTCAAAAAAGATAAATTTCTCATGACCTAAACCCATGGTGTTGAAAAGATTCAAACTCAAGACGTTTAACTTTACAGTTCATTTTTATTATCACTAGAATTATTTTTTAGCGTTTCAACAACTCAGTCAGGCACCTAAATCTGGAAAAGTGCTGATCTTGTAGAGTGGAGAAGGAAGTTATGAATCAGTTATGGCTAGCAATGGGATGCACAAATCGGGATTGTCTGCTCAAAATTTGTTCAAATCATGCTAAATTCATAATCTACATGTCTTGTTTATGTATATGACCTGTTTTGGTCGTGTTGTGTACAACTAAAAAGGGTTATGGCTAGTCCCAAAGTACGTCCAAAAATAGAAAAAGCTTTTCCATTTTGACAGGTAGAATATGCAAAATTAACATGCAAAACAGAACCTTATACATTCTTGAGAATATGGAGGATATGATTCCAGGGATAATTTATGGGAAAAGGGTAAGGTGAAGTGAAGCTGAGAGATTATCGGGAAAAAAAGAGAGAAGAAAATCACACTAAAATTGCACTCAGATCACTGAACAATACATAAGCAAGACTTGTTATGAATAACCTCACCTATGCTCCCAAGTCGACACTCCCTCAATTCAACTAAACCTTTAAGGTAAATTTTTATGTCAACATGCATTACAAAATTTCAGGTTAAATTACTGATTACTGCTGAGAACGGGAGAAATGATTGTCATTAGGGTTCCTCTTTCCGCTGAAAACTGCTACGGCTTTCCTTACAGGAGGCTGTAGAGGAGCTCTCTTATCGGTATGGTGGAGAAAGATATCATTTGAAGCGAAAATGTCATCTCCCTACACAACGAAGTATGTAGAAACCTCAGTTTGGTTGGAAATAGAAACACATTCAACAACCCCACCGGATGCAGAAAGGAAGTGAAAAAAAAAAAAAGTGAAGCAAAACAAAAAGAAGAATAAGAACCAACCTGTTTATTCTTCTTCTTCATTTTTGGGTACAGGAACTTCTGTGGGAGCTGATCTTCCCGTAAAATTGGGTTCTTAGTAATAGCATCTCTCCCACCTTGAGGTAGAGGCAGTGAGAACTGCACATAGTAAGATGCCAGCCTTGTTCGTTAGATGGGAAACCAACATGCACCAGATAAAATTTTACAACAGAGATCCAAGCACCAAACCCAAGTGTGCTTGTTTGGTAGCTATGGTTTTCATACACCTAGTTCAGGCAACCAAGTGTCTGCTTGGATGCCAAGGTACAGAATAACCTATTTCAAGCAGCAAATGCTCATAAACTAGTATCTTTCTTTCAATTACAATTACTATTAGAAAAAGGTGAACTGCCCTCCGGTTCACAAGCTCTCAGGCACAAACACAGACAAATAAGCATGTATGGGAAGAGGAGGGAAAATGGCTTTGTTTGCTTCATAACCAGTGCCTCAAGTGCATTCTCATCCCAACACTCAGATGTCTGCCATACAAATGCATGGCCAGGTCCAGATTCCCTCACAAGATCTTGAGAATGAAAGCTTGGTATACAAACATGACACAGCCTCAGCAGGGTAATTTTGTCAAACTATGTAGCTAGGGCCTAGGGGTAACAGACAAATACAAAAAATGCACCTAAAAGTTACTAATACTAAAAGAAGGAAGGAACATGAAAACCCATTAAACTCCACTTAAATGCTCAAAATAAGAAAATGGAATCCTGATAATGATATACTCACTTTTGTGCCACGCAGAGAGATACGATGCCGACGAACTGCAAGCACAATGCCATTTTCACCAACTGTAACAGCTACCTTGCGTAAAGTTCCCCCATTTCCACAGCTGGGACAAAAAATCCTACCAATTTCTGTAGTCACTTTGAAGCAGGCATGGCATTTCAGAATCCATCTGAAAAGGTTGACGGCTCACAATAGTAAGTATTTATGTCTGTCCATTGAATTTTTTATTGGCCCCAAAGCAAGATGCTCAAGATAGAAACAACAAAACTTTATACACACTCATTAAAATTAATTTCTCATGGATCCACAGGCAGCCTAAAGGTAACTAATAGTTGATACATACATATGGCATAAATGCATTCATAAAAGGGTCAAATCAAATGCAGAAGAATATCTGAGTGAATAGTGTTAATCACCTTTTGAAAATAAACGAATGGAATATAACAATGTATTTACCTGTGCAGCTCATGGATCTGCATTCCTCCTGGTGCCAGCAGGCGTAAACCCATCTGAAGAAGAACATTTTGCATTGCAAAGTCGCTGGTTACACAAGCCACACTAGAGTCAGACAAGGATCTTAGCATCCAGCTCTGCTCGCTACTGTTGTCATCCATATATGATGCACCGGCACTTTCACTGTTCTGGCTTGAGATCTCCAAGCTATCTGATCCTTGATTAATAAATTCAACCTCATCTGCTTCAACTGTAACATTTTCATGACTACCATAGTCTGCCACTGTGGAATGGCGAGACTCAAGTCCTTCACAAGACATGTCCACATCCTTACCTTCTTGAAGAGACTTCAACAAATCCTCGTCCAGCCTCATTTGATTCAAAATTGTGGAAATATCCCCATTGCTGTTCTTACCTTCAGAGATCTTAGTTTCTTCTAAATCTCCATTCCCAACATGTGTTTCTTCAGAACTTTCGTGTATCAGAGGAGGGCATGTAGAGTCCTTAAGATTTTCACTGTCAGCGTTTTCAGTTGCATCTTGCTGATGATCTTTTTCAGACAAGGCTTCATGCATTGCACGCCTAGCTTTTCTTCTGAGGTATCTTCTGTGAGTACTTCGACTGACAGCGGGTGACCAATCACCAGAGTTATCATCAAATTGTCCCTGTGATGCATCAATACCATCTGCCACCATCTTCTTCCCTTCGACATTTACCTCTTTCATCTTTGGAGGATATCTCCTCGGTTTCCTAAAACCTCCATCTGCATCCTCTTGCTTTTCAGAATGAGGTTCAGCACCATCTCCTGTAGAACCATTCTCTGGAATATGTTGATCTGTGGGGATAACATTCAAATTCAAATCTTTCAGGGGGAGGATTCTTGAACTAGGGTTCGATCCATCCTCGTGTGCATTTTCTAATGCTTCCCATTCTTCCAAATTAGGAACATTGGAGCCCCAACCAGGCAGTTCCTTCTCAGGCAGCCTTTTCACATTAACAGTGTGAATAGGAGGGGGCCTATCTCGGAGATGTTTAATTCCGTGAATCTGAGCCTCCAATGTATAAGTCAAAGCAATGAGCTTGAGATCAACATCTGAAAGAGTCTGTAAGTCACCAGTCGCCCTAGCAAAGCTGATAACTGTCAAGCCACACAGACATTGAACTCCAAGTTACAATTGTTTTTCTTTTCCTTTTCTTTTCTAAAAAAGAAACTTCAAGAATGAAATGTAGTTCAATGAAACAACAAAATTACACCAGAAACTGTCCAATGTATTCACAATTTTTCCAAGTTTGCTATAGTTGGTAAAAGAAATACTAAAAATAAAAAGAAACGCGATGGAAAGATTTTTTTTTTAAGGGGGGAGGATGAAAATTTAAACAACTTTTGCGAAAGAAGGCTATTGGTGCCATAAAAATCAATTTCACCATAACTCAGCCGGCCAACATTCTTCTCCTCCCCCCCCCCCTGACTTTTCTACACATAT